CGGGGATCGAACCAACAACCAACCAACAACTGATTGGGGGACAACCCGCTCTGCCTCTGAGCCACAGCCACCCCAGTTAGTCTATTCAGGAAATATCTACAATTTCAAGACACATCTCACCTGATAGGCCTTCTCATTCTTATTTTCAGTCTCCCCTAAAGTGCCACCATGAGCACAGACGCAGAAATGGAGGCCTATGGCCCAGCAGCCATCTACCTCCGGAAGTCAGAGAGGGAGAGGATTGAGGCACAAACCGCTCCTTTTGATGCCAAAACTGCCTACTATGTGACTGATCCTGATGAAATGTACCTCAAGGGAAAACTCATCAAGAGAGAGGGTGGCAAAGCCACAGTTGAGACATTTACAGGAAAGGTAAGTGTAATAATGCTAAAATGAAACTCAAATGACTCAAGGATTAACAGGCAAACTGATCAAGGTTCTTTAAAATATTTTAATAATAGTTATACTTCATAGACTCTTTCAGCAAAAGAGAATGAGATTAGTTTATTTAACTACCATATATGATTTAAGTCTATGTCTTAGTTAATATTTAATTACATTTCTTTTCCTTATTGTATTCAGACTATCACTGTAAAAGAGGATGACATCCATCAAATGAACCCCCCCAAGTATGATAAAATTGAAGACATGGCTATGATGACCTACCTCAATGAGCCTGCTGTGCTATATAACCTCAAAGAGCGTTTTTCATCATGGATGATCTACGTAAGCTTCAATCTTTTTATATAATGTGTTTGTATCTGTAAAGCGTCTGCATCAAATGTGATAATGTTTCTTTTTGGCACTACAGACCTACTCTGGCCTGTTCTGTGTCGTTGTGAACCCCTACAAGTGGCTTCCTGTGTATGATGCTGAAGTTGTGGGAGCATACAGAGGCAAGAAGAGGATTGAGGCTCCACCCCACATCTTCTCTGTCTCTGACAACGCTTATCAGTTCATGCTTACTGGTAAGATCCAAGTTACCACAGAATTTTAGTGGATAGAACAGAGAAGAATTTTAGCTAGAGGTTAAATTGAGTGTGAATGCTTGTATTTCAGATCGTGAGAACCAGTCTGTCCTTATTACGTGAGTATAACAGAACTTGTCAAGACAATATTTTAGAAACTTCATAACCATCTTGCTAAGTAAATAAATCTTTTTCTTTTTTCTTTCATTCCCCAGTGGAGAATCCGGTGCAGGAAAGACTGTCAACACCAAGCGTGTCATCCAGTACTTTGCAACAATTGCAGTGGCTGGACCTGTTAAGAAAGAGACTAGCAAAATACAGGTAAATTTGCTTGTCTGCTAAAAATCTTTGCCACAGTTGATTGTTGTTACATATTTTTATACTGGCTCATAATGTCTCTATGTAGGGTTCACTGGAAGATCAAATCATTGCAGCCAACCCTCTGCTAGAGGCCTATGGTAATGCAAAAACAGTGAGGAATGACAACTCCTCTCGTTTTGTAAGTATTCATATTTTGGACCTTCACATAACTTTGTTATGCATATTGTTTCTTATACTCAAACTGACCTTTTCTGGTAAATGTCTAGGGTAAATTCATTAGAATCCACTTTGGCACTTCTGGCAAGTTGGCTTCAGCTGATATTGAAACATGTAAGTTTTAATTATTTTTTCTTTTGTAGTTGGCAACATTGACAACATTAGTAGTATAGCAATGTACTGCCTTTCATTGTTTGATGCACATTCATCATCAATTCTGACAGATCTGCTGGAGAAGTCTCGTGTAACCTTCCAGTTGTCTGCTGAGAGGAGCTACCATATCTTCTATCAGCTGATGACTGGCCACAAGCCTGAGCTCCTAGGTATGTTACTTGAATTTTAAATAGAAATATAAACAATACTAATAACAACACCAACCAATACTATGTATTTCTATTGTTTTCCTCTAGAGGCTCTTCTGATCACTACCAACCCCTATGACTACCATATGATCAGTCAGGGTGAAATCACTGTCAAAAGCATCAATGATGTGGAGGAGTTCATTGCAACTGATGTAAGTTGATAATAATTTGTGGAATAAAAGCAGATGAATGTCAGAATAATAGATGTTCTAAAAGGATTTGCTTTGCATAAACTGCAGACTGCTATTGACATCTTGGGCTTCACTGGTGATGAGAAAGTGGCCATATACAAGCTGACTGGTGCTGTGATGCATCATGGAAACATGAAATTCAAGCAAAAGCAGCGCGAGGAGCAGGGTGAACCTGATGGCACTGAGGGTAATTGTAATAATAGTGTGAAATTACATCATCATATTACATCAAAAAGCAAGAGAAACAAAAATACTTTACCTCACAAGCTTTATGCATAAACTACTGCAAAAATGTAATCAGAACATCATCACACTACTACAACAGTGGGTTACATTGGTTGAATGCCAATTAGCATGGCAATCAGCACTAACATATTCCAAACAGACAAAGTGCATGAATGAAGATTAAAAAGTAATAAGCCGGAAACTAACCAAAAGCAATATGACAGACAAACAGTACAGAGAGAGTGACAAATGAACTACCATGAACTGCCAGTAATTGCTAACAAACATTCTACACACAATATGACATATTTTTTTTGTTTTCAGTGGTGATTTTAGTAATGTTACCGTTAATATTCTTGGTTCACATCAATGCAAACCTTTTTTCTTTCAATCAGAGGCTGATAAAATTGCCTACCTCATGGGCCTGAACTCAGCCGATATGCTAAAAGCTCTGTGCTACCCAAGAGTCAAAGTTGGAAACGAGATGGTGACCAAAGGTCAGACCGTGCCACAGGTAATAAAAAGTAAATTTGTTTGGAAAGATGAAGGAAATATTGGCATTTTGATATGAAAATATTAGAAATTCCAACACCATAACTCTTATTTCTAGGTCAACAATGCTGTCAGTGCTTTGTGCAAGTCTGTCTATGAGAAAATGTTCTTGTGGATGGTCGTCCGTATCAATGAGATGTTGGACACAAAGCAGCCAAGACAGTTCTTCATTGGAGTGTTGGATATTGCTGGATTTGAGATCTTTGATGTGAGTAATTTGAAGAACATTTCAGTTGTATCGCATGTCATCAATTTTTTTTTTTTCATGGGACTGATTATATTTCCAAAATTACAGTTCAACAGCTTGGAGCAACTCTGCATCAACTTCACCAATGAGAAACTGCAACAGTTTTTCAACCAACATATGTTTGTTCTGGAGCAAGAGGAGTACAAGAAGGAGGGTATTATCTGGGAGTTCATTGACTTTGGCATGGACTTGGCTGCCTGCATTGAGCTTATTGAGAAGGTAAGACAAATCTTTCAGATATAAGTTCAACCAGTTTTCTGAGTGAATGCTATATTGTTGATTCTTTTTAATATGTAATTTACTAATATTTCTCCTTTTTTAAATCTCAGCCCATGGGTATCTTCTCCATCCTTGAAGAGGAGTGCATGTTCCCCAAGGCCACAGACACATCCTTCAAGAACAAGCTGTATGACCAGCATCTTGGCAAGACCAAGGCCTTTGAGAAGCCAAAGCCTGGAAAGGGCAAGGCTGAAGCTCACTTCTCCCTGGTTCACTATGCTGGTACAGTGGACTACAATATCACTGGCTGGCTGGACAAGAACAAGGATCCACTGAATGACTCTGTTGTTCAGCTGTACCAGAAGTCTGCAAATAAACTGCTTGCCATGCTGTATGCAACCCATGCTGCAGCTGATGGTAGGAAATACAAGTGAACAGAGTATCCAGTATTAATGGTAAAAGATAGTGAGAAAATTTGATTTTAATTTCTCTTTCTTTGCTGTCACTATGTCTAAGCAGATGCAGCTGGTGGCAAAAAGGGTGGTGGAAAGAAGAAGGGTGGTTCCTTCCAGACTGTGTCTGCTCTTTTCAGAGTATGTTACTCAAAGTAAAATTTAACGTCAGTGGTTTGTGTTTAAAAGTTGAGTTTTATTTTAAATGATAATATTTTGGTTCTACAGGAGAACTTGGGCAAGCTGATGACTAACTTGAGGAGCACCCATCCTCACTTTGTGCGCTGCCTGATTCCCAATGAATCAAAGACCCCAGGTTTGCTGTTTTTGTGTTGCTGTTGCCTTGTCTTTTTTCAAAGACTAAATGTCCTCAGAACTAAAATTCCAGAAATGCTTATTACACGTCTAATTTTGTACAATCTCTAGGTCTTATGGAGAACCACTTGGTCATCCATCAGCTGAGGTGTAACGGTGTGCTGGAGGGCATCAGAATCTGCAGAAAGGGCTTCCCCAGCAGAATCCTCTATGGTGACTTCAAGCAGAGGTAACTTGTCAGTATAAGTAATTCAAGTCGATTTTCTTTATAGGAATATATATATAGGAAATGGGAGGTGCATATAAGTAAAAACTTAATTTTCTCTTGTAGATACAAGTTTGAATGCCAGTGTCATCCCTGAGGGACAGTTCTTGCAAAAGAAGCTTCAGAGAGCTGCTGGCTCCATTGGGATGTGGCAACACTCAGTATAGTTTAGGAGCAACAAGGTATTTCTAATGGACACATATCAGTAGCCATGGCAAATATATATTCTGTTGTATCCATGTTTACTGAATACTGATTTCCTTCACTTAACAACATAGGTTTTCTTCAAAGCTGGTCTGCTGGGTACTCTAGAGGAGATGAGAGATGAGAAACTGGCTACACTGGTGACCATGACTCAGGCACTCTGCAGAGGATTTCTTATGAGGAAGGAGTTTGTTAAAATGATGGAAAGAAGGTAGGATTCTCATACAGGATACTGAATTGTTTCTTAAATTCCTGTGTGACGTTAAACAAAAGCAACCATTATACACTAATTGATGTTATTTTATTAGAGATGCAATCTTCACCATCCAGTACAACATCCGTTCATTCATGAATGTGAAGAACTGGCCATGGATGCATCTGTACTTTAAGATCAAGCCTCTTCTGAAGAGTGCTGAGACTGAGAAGGAGCTCCAGCAGATGAAGGAGAACTATGAAAAGATGAAATCAGATCTGGCTACTGCCCTGGCCAAGAAGAAGGAACTGGAGGAGAAGATGGTGTCCCTTCAGCAGGAGAAGAATGATCTGCAGCTGCAAGTAGCATCTGTGAGTGAAATGCAAAATTATAATTGATGTGAAACGTTTTTGAGATGTTTCAGTAAAAAAAACTACCATGCATATGTTCAAACTATAGGAAGGTGAGAACCTCTCTGATGCTGAGGAAAGGTGTGAGGGGCTCATCAAGAGCAAGATCCAGCTCGAGGCCCATTGATTTCTCTTCATCCTCCGAGGTGTCTGCTTCAGTCTGTATCTCTGATTGAGTTT